TAGACATAAGTGTCCAGAGAACAGTTGCTGGAGAAGGATGTGATGCTGGGTAAGGTGGAGGGTCAGAGAAAAAGAGGAAGACCCCCAACGAGATGGATTAGCCAGGTGGCATCATTGATGGACTCAAGTGTGGCAGTGGTATTGAGACCCAGGATTGGACATTGTTTCGTTCTGCTGTGCATGGGGTCACTATGAGTCGGTTCCGACTTGATGGCACCTGATAACAACAACAAGAACACCTCTATGTGTATAGGTCAAGTTCATCAAATTGTAGCAATTTACCCTTGTTTCCTTTATCAAAAAGTTTTTCTTTTCTTTTCTTTTTTTTAATCTTCTCCCTCTAGTCGAGTTCTGATTGTCAAGCCATCAAGGCTAGGTCAAATGGGTACTATCTGCAAATTTGGGTGTTTTTGTACCTCTCCCCTCTCTTCATATCAGCTGGATGCTTCACTCTCAGCTCTAGCCCCCTCTGTATGTTAGAGAAATTTTCATCCAGAAGTTCTTAACTATTTCCTCTGTGAATTTGTGTAATTCTTCCTGTCTGGAATGCCGATAAGTCTTACATTATTCCTCTTCATGTTATCCAACATGAATCTTAGACCTTCTTCAGATTTTTTTTATCTGTTTTTCTGTTTATTCTTTTATCTTAGTGGTATTGAGAGACTTATCTTCCAGCTCACTAGTTCTGGCTTCCATTTCTTCAGTTCTACTCCTTTGCCCTTTCAATGTATTATCCATTTCTGATATTCTATTATTGATCATTTGGATCTCCTTCTGGAGGTTTTGAATTGTTTCCAGTGCTGTATCTGTCTTATTTGATTGTTCCTATAGCATTTTCCTTACTTCTTCCTTATTTTTCTCAACTCCATTGTAAAGTGTTTTGATACATTTTATAATCATTTTTCTGAATTCCTTCTCAGGCATTTCCAAAGTTTGCCCTCCTTCCAGTATGAGATGTAGGTCTACCTCCAGTTCATTTGTCTCAGTTACTTTATCTTGTTTCTGGATGTGTGCTGATATGGTCATCTGTTTCTGATTTTTTGGGCATATTCAGTGGTTAGCTGTGGCCTTAAAACTTAGATGGGTGTATGTTTTGGTATTTTTTATGTTTTCTGATTGCCTCCAGGTAGATGTGATCAGGAGATGGGCTTCCCTTTTCACTCTTCTTCCTTTATCTCCATGGTTCTGTCAGGTGTCTGTGGCTGCTCTGATCCTTTGCTGGTTCAGTCTCACCCAAGGTGGCCTCTCAGGGAGCAGCTACATGCCTTGGATTAGAAAGCACTGGATTTCTTGCTTCTGCTGCAAATTCCACTGGCTGTAAGCCTTCCAACTTTCTAAATATTCTTTTATAAGTGGTTCAGAGTTTTGGGACCATCCTCTGAGCCTGCTTGGTCTGGTATTCTGAGTTGTAACTGACAGAGCTCCTCATTGCACTTCCACTCTATCTGCTATCTTGTTTGTTCTCCACCATTTTACCCTTTGACCTTTTAAATGTTGTACATTTGAATGCTTTTATCTATAAATAAAATAAAATATTACATCAGTGATCCTATCAGCTCTGAATAAGCTGTTCTCTATGCGATGAACTTTAATTTGGGGATTAAAAGAGGATATAGCTGAAATATAGTTCTTTTACTTTAAATAAAATTTCATTTGGTATGATTAAGCAGATTGTCCCCTGTCTTCCGTCAAATTCCTGTGGTGTTTCCTGAAGTTACTAGAATTATCTAGTCATATTTGAGAGGAGTTTAGACTTTGTTTGGAGTGTGCTGTAAAGCTCTCCTTGCAAATCTTACCAGTGTCACTAGCCTGGGGCAGAAAGTCATTGATAATCTGTTTTCCTTTCCAGATATGGCTTTTCCACCAAAAACCTGAGTCTCTCAGTCCTCGGACAAAATATATGAGTGCCACTACTGGCTTTGGAAGCAATTATGTAATAACCCAAAAGGTAAAGCTGTTTATGTATTTACATTAAGAATGTTTGTTGCTAGGCTGATGAATGGGCCCCTGCTTTCTTGACCTGCCCATAGGTTTTCCGGCTCTCATCACTGGGTCTTAATCTCTGTTCACTGGTCTTTTTTCATTTCTTTCTGCTCCATCCTGCCTCTGAGCCTTTACACATCTGTTCTCTCTACTTCAACTGCCCTGTTCTTTCCCTCTTAACTGGTTGATTTCTATTCATCTTTAAAATCTTAACTTACATCTCAGCCTTCTGCGGTCCTGTAGACCAGTCAGGTACCTCTGTTATGGACTCTCTTGACATGTTGTACTTTTTCCGTGTAGCAATTTATTTGCTATTAGGCTCCCCTATGAGAATATATGTTCTATGAGAATGAGGATGGTGTTTTGAAGAGGTTGGGAATGGCATAGATGCAAAAAAATAAAATAAAAATCTGGTTTTTGGACTTTATGTTTTTTTCCATAAAGAAGTCAAATAGTTATATATTAGGAAATTAGAATATTTATTTTGAACCCTTAATAACAGCTTTGTTGTATTTTTGTTGTGAATATAGTTTACTTTACCCTCCCATTTTGTTCATAGCCTAGTTGATTGTGAAGCACTGGTGGCACTTTAGGATAGAAGCTGGATCGTTGACCACAAGTTCAGCAGTTCAGACTCACCAGCTGCTCTGCAGGAAAAAGATGAGGCTTTCTTGTTCCGTTAAAGATTTATAGCCTTGGAAACCCTATACAGGGTTTCTATAAGTCAGAACTGACTTTGAAGGCTTATAACAACAAGCTTATTGTGAGGAGGCATTGCATAAAATAAAGCTAAACAGAGGCAAATATCTCAAGTATGTCAAATAACTGACAATAATCTCTGTTTGTCCTGATACCTCCCAATGCTTTCCAAAATATGTTCTGCTAAGTACTAGTTGGAGTCCTGGTGTGGCGCTGTGGGCTAATGCGTCAGACTACAAAGTCGTTTGAACTGCAATGCCGGTGGTTCAAGCTCACCAGCTTTTCCTTGGGAACCCTATATGGGGTCGCTATGGGTCAGAATCAACTCGATGGCACTTAACAACAACAACAACAAGTACTAGTTGGGAGCATGAAGGATATGTAGAAAAAGCACTGGACTGCAAAATACAAGGTTGGTGAATCGAGCTCCCCAGTCACTCCATGGAAAAAAAATGAGGCTTTCTGCTCCCACAAAGATTTACTATCTTGAAAACTCTATACAAGGTCACTGTGAGTCCGAACCAACTCAACGGCACTTAACAACAAATCCATATTCCTTGAGAAGATTTACAAAAAGAGTTTGAGTAATGCCTTTTGTTGTTGTTTGGTGTCATTGAGTTGGTTCCAACTCGTAGTGATCCTCTATTCAACAAAACAAAATCCAGCTTGGTCTTACACCATCCTCACAGTCATTCCTATGTTTGAACCCGTTGTGCAGGCACTATGCCAATCTGTCTCATTGAAGGTCTTCTCTTTTTTCTTGACCCTTTGCTTTACCAAGCATGAGGATACTTCTCCAGGGACTGGTCCCTCCTGATAACACATCCAAATGGTGTGAGATGGAGTCTCACCATCCGCGCTTCTAAAGAGCATTCTTACTGAACTTTGTCCATACTGTGTAAACCACGTAAGAAACAGAGATCTGTGTAAAATTGTTTTTTCCAAATTTTTATTGATATATATATAATTTTTTAAAAAATTACGTAATATCCCAAAGAATGTACTTTGGGAAACACTACTCTAAATGAATAGACTTATTTTAGGCCTGCAAAGATTGTTTGGATATGCTCTCTTTTCCTTTAGAGGGAATTACTTATTCACCAAGGAAACAAAATGTTTCATTCTTTAAACTAAATTATTTTATTGACATTTTAAGGTAGTTCATTGGAAAAAGTACTTTAACCTTAGATTCATTTGGATAAGTCAGCTTTCTTCTCTGTTAAAAGTTGGAGTACAAGTAGGGTGCCTTTCCAACACCATGTGGAAAAATGCTAAGGTGATTGCCTGAGCATAAATGTTAGTTCCAAAATATTGAAATGTTTTCTTTAATGTTTTAGCTTTTCTAATGTGGGAAGAAAGAGAGTCTGTTATTAAAGCTCAGGTTCTATATGGACTTGAATAAGGATACCGTTTTATAGATTGTGTCTTAGGCTGGATTCTCTAGAGAAGCAAAACCAGTGAAGCTTATATATTCATATAAAGAGAACTTTATATATCATGTAGCTATTGTTGTTGTTATGTGCCGTGGAGTCGGTTCCAACTCATAGCAACCCTGTACAGGGTTTTCAAGGCTGTAAATCTTTACGGGAGCAGAAAGCCTCATCTTTCTACCATGGAACAGCTGGTAGTTTTGAACTGTTGACCTTGCGGTTCACAGCACAATTCATAACCACTATGCTACCAGAGCTCCTTATCATGTAGCTGTAGGGCTGATGAATTCAAGATCCACAGGTCAGGTGGCAGGCAGCTAGATTGGGCATGTAAGATGGCAGGCTGCTAATGACTCAGATTCAAAGAATTGGCATTGGATGGTGAACTAGGTGTGGGACTCAGACCCAGCAAAAGTAAGCTAGCTTTGTCTAAGTGTCCAGTATGTTGGAAGTAGGCCATATCCCCAGGGAAACTTTCTTTCAATTGATTGGCTGTTCAGAGGAGGTCTCATTATGGGGCATTAGTATGTCTTAACTGCCAAACCACTGAGAATCCTGGTCCTATCAAGGTGATACAAAACCTTAACTACCACAGGATCTGAAAGTTTGATTTTGCCTGTGTATCAGTTAAGATTAGATTTTAGTAATCCTGAGTACAATATCAACAGGGTTAATTATAAAAACAAAAATATTCATGTGTTTATTGAGTGCTGTTGAGTCAGCTCTGACTCATAGCAACCCTGTATAGCGGTTCTGAGGAGCGACTAGTGGATTTGAACCACCGACCTTGTTGTTAAGAGTCCAGTGCTTATCTACAGTTCCACACCAGTACTCTTTTATGTGTTTGTTGTTGTTGTTAAGTGTCGTCGAGTCAAATGGTATTGCATCGGTTCCAACTCAGCGATACTGTCTAGGGTTTCTGAGGAGCAGCTGGTGGGTCCGAACTACCGACCTTGTAATTCTAACAGACCTGTAGTCCAGTGTATCATCCTGCAGCACTATGCTGGAGAGTCTTTGAGGCACTGTAGAATTAGCACTGAACTGTTAATCATCAGGTCGGTAGTTTAAGCCCATCAGCTGCTCCTCAGAAAACCTATACAAGGGCTCTATGAGCTGGCACCTTCTCGGTGGCATTTAGCAAACAAAAACAAATGCTGATACTGAGCTTGACTATTAACCCACATCAAAACCTGACTCACAGTGACCCTATAAAACAGAGTAGAACTGCTCCATAGGGTTTCCAAGGCTATAAATCTTTCTAGCAGTAGACCAGCTGATCTTTCTCTTGCAGCACGGCTAGTAAGTTTGAACCACTGTCCTTTGGTTAATAGCCTAGAGCTTAGGCCATTGCACCACCAGGCCTCTTTGACTTTAAACAGCATCTGGAAATTTGTTCATTGCTTACAATGAACAGGATTCATAATCTGACAGGAATTTAAAATAACAATGAATTAAACAAAATAGAAACTTAGGTTCCTCATGTGTAAAAGCAGTTTGTAGTGAGGAAGTCCTGAGCTCTATAAGTATTGTTCTGTCATCCCTTGGGTGTGGCCCAGTGAGCAGTGTGGAAGGAAGAGGAAAGAAGGGAATGCTCATTCCTTTTAAAGAGCCTCCTTGGTGATACCACACAGCACCTCCACTTGTATCCTATTATGAGAACATAGTCATGCCATTCCCATTCGCTTCAGAGGAGACTAGGCAAATGGAGTCTTTTATCTGGAAGGCAGTGAGTCCAGCTAAAATCAAGCGTCTTTTACTAAAAAAGAAGGAGATTTTCAAAAAGCCTTTGATTTGTCCTCTTTAATTCTTTCTTACATCCCATTTATCTGGTGTCTTCTGTCACTGGGTATGGAATCCTGGTATAGCGCTGTAGGATAAACACTGGATTGCCAACAGCAAGGTTGGCAGTTCAAACCTACCAGCTGCTCCTGGGAAATCCTATAAAAGATCACTATGAGTTGGAACTGACTCAACAGCATTTAGCATCATCATCACTGGGTACAGTGGAGTTAGAAAAGAGAGCAAAACCCAGATCTCTTTAGGAGATGTAACTGTAGATTTGGTGAGAGTTGGAATTTGGATTAAATGTTATTATGTCATTAGGTTCTCAGACCTTCCTAAGATCAGTTCTATGGCTTCCACCCCAACCCTTTTAGCTGACCCTCCTTTTTTTCCCAGTTTTTTTTTTTTTTTACATGTGTTACACAAATTCAGTTCATTTTCTTTTTCTTTTGTGATAATCCTTATTTTGGCTTCTTTTCCAGATGGACCTAGATGAAGAAACTGCTGAACAATGTTACCAAATCTTGCTGGAACTGGAAAAGCATGTGAGAACCACCATTCAAAATTCAGATCACCAGAGCTGACAGTGACTGTCTCAGTAGCCCATGTGCCTTTGATGCATTCGGGGACATGTGGGTTTCAGTGGAGGTGGATGATGTATATTTGTAGTATCCTATGAGCTATGGTTGTCTCTTTTCTCTTTTTTGAGAATTATCTCTTAGACTGTGTATGTGTGTATATTTGTGGGCACATGAGCAAAACACGGACAAATTAAAATATTAATTGGAGAGTCCTTGTAATGGTGTCACATCATAGTAATTGGATTTCCCAATAGAATATCACTTTTTAGTGTCCTGCTCATTGGAGCCCAAGCTAGACCATAGGATATGGTGGGGGTTCGAGTAATAGATACACAGACTCATGAGTCCTCTCCTTTCCTTTGGTCACAATAAGAGGACTTATTGTAACTCTCTGAGTTACAATCTTTTTCATTTCTTGGGTATTTCGGTTTATTTCTACCTCTGTAATTCTGAGCATGTCTCACAGAAACAAAGAAATAGGTGTTTTGATCATTTTACATTTTTCTTAAAGTTACCTTTTTATTGGTATTCAGTTAGTCTAAGCTAATTCCAGAACACTTACTTGTGCTCCTGAGGAACCTATACATAGACCAAGAGGCAATTGTTTGAACAGAACAAGGGATACTGCTTCGTTTAAAATCAGGGAAGATGTGTGTCAGCATTGTAGAGAAGTTGACTAGATGAAGAAGAAAGCGTCATCAGGTTTGAAGGAAGACTCGTTACCATGTGCAGTGCTTGATTGCTAAAAGCAAAGAGGATTTGAAGCACTTACTGATGTCCTCCCAACACCCTATCCCTCAAGTACTCCTGATGCTCTGTCCAGTTGTGGTCCTCCCTTGGTCCCCTCATGTTGAGTGTGAGTGAACACTTGTGAAGGCATGTGAGGCATCCCTTCATGCCTTTAACTCCCTTCATTTTAAATAAAAGATATTTCAGTTGCCCATTCCAATTCTCTTATCAAACCATTACTCTGAGGGTGGTATGCCCATTTAATGTGATGTTTTTTGGCCCATTGCTGTATTCTTTGGGCTGTAAAGTATGTTCTTTGGTCTGAGGAACTATAACTTGGTGGTCCAAATTGTTATAGCATCTCTTGTTTTAATCCTTACTGGTGCTTTGGGCATCTGCATCTGTCACAACAAAAATCTAATATGCCCTCTGAATTTCCTGAGTGCTTTCCATTGGTCCATGCCAAACACAGGGTCCCCTTTAATAGTCCAATTTTCTATTGCTTATTTGCTTGATCAGATAGCCAGGCCAGGAATCCACATAAATCTCAATGTATGAGCTCTCCCCATTGCTAGTTCTTCTATCACAGCTAGGAAAACAGCATGCAGTTCAGTCCATTGAGCTCAATTGGTCTTACCTTGGTCAATCAAGGTCTTTTCATCTGCTGGTCATAACGCAGCAGCTGTCATCATCAAATGTCCATTTCCCCTGGAACAAGCAGTCTTCTGCTGGTCAGCACAAAGCTGTGCACAGGGTACTGTCTATGTGGCAGTGGTACCAAGACAACTAAAGAAGCTAGCTGCTCATGAATATGGTGGGTGTCTTCCTTCATTCCCCCAGGAGCTTGTTCTTGTATGAACCATTTCCGTTTTATTATGGACTTATTTGGCACACCACTTTCCTTATTAGAGTGTTTCTCTAACATCACCCAAGGCACTGTGGGTATCTCAGGTTTCATGAGTTTCTGTCCTGTCATTCAAGCAGTCTCAATCAGTGCTCAGTAGCAGTTGAGTAATTGCTTTTCAAATGGTGTGAGTCGTGTTGCACAATACTTTCTAGCTTAGAATCCCAATGGCTGTCAGAGGGTAGCAGTCTCAGATTTTTGCCATGACCAAGAACTGGTGGTACTGTTACTGAAGGAAGAAGGCCAAGGTACACAGAAGGCATTGGCAAAAAATAAGGCTCCAGGAATTGATAGAATACAAATTGTAATTTTCAGCAAACTGATGCAGCACTGGAAGTGCTCATTCATCTATGCCAAGAAATTTGGAATGCAGATACCTAGGCAACCTTTTGGAAAAGATTCATATTTTGTCCTTTACAACGAGAGGTGACTGAATGGAATGTGGAAATCATCGAACAATAACATTAATCTCACACACAAGTAAAATTTTGCTGAAGATAATAAAAAAAACCAACAGTTGCAACAATACATGAAGAAGGAACTGCCAGAAAATCAAACTAATTCAGCAGAGGACATGGAACTAGGGATATAATTGGTGACGTCATATGGACCTTGACTGAAAGCTGAGACTACCAAAAAGAGTTTACTTGTGCTTTATTGACTATGCAAAGATTTTTAACTGTGTGGATAACATGAAAAAACTGTGGCATTCCAGAATACTTGATTTTGTTCATGAGGAACCTGTACCTAGACCAAGAAGCTGTCATTCAAACAGGATAAGGGGATACTCAATAGCTTATTTTAAGTTGTTCACTAGGCTATCTTTTTTCACTATACGTATTAAATCTGTATGAACGAATAATCTGAAAAGCTGAATTACATAAACAAGAGCCTGGCATCAGGATTGGAAGAAGACTCATTAACAACCTGCAATATGAAGATGGCACAACCTTGTTTGCTGAAAGTGAAAAGGACTTACAATATTTACTTACAAAGATCAAAATCTAAATACCTTGATAAGTGGAGAATAGATTGATGTTGTTGAAGACTTCATTTTGCTTGGATCAACAATACTATACTACTCATGGAAGCAGTCAAGAAATCAAGTACCATATTGCATTATGCAAACCTGGTGCCCAAGACGTCTTTAAGTGTTAAAGAACAAAGATATCAGTTTGAGGACTAAGGTGTGTCTGACCCAAGTCATAGTATTTTCAATGACCTCATATACATGTGAAAATTGGACAATGAATAAAGACTTTAGAAGAACTGATACTTGTGGGTTATAGTGTTGGGGAAGAAAATTGAAAGTCCCAAGGACTTCCAGAAAAATGGACACATCTATGCTTGAAAAAGCACAGCCAGAATGCTCCTTACAAGCCAGGATGGCAAGATTTTGACTCTCATACTTCAGACATGTTATCAGGAGAGACCCATCCTTGGAGAAGAGCTGTATGATTGGTAAAGTGGAGGGTCAGTGAAACAGAGGAAGACCCCCAGCAGGATGGATTGGCACCATGGTAGCAGCAGTGGGCTCAAGCATAACAATAATTGTGAGGATGCCAGGGACTGGGTAGTGTTTCATTCTGTTGTGCATAGGGTTGTTAAGAGTTGGAACTAACTCTATAGTACCTAACTAACAACAAACAAATTGGTGGAGCCTTGGTGGCATTTTGGGTTATGCATCAAACTTTTAACCACCAGTCCACTTAACAGAAAGGTGATGCTGTCTGCTCCTGTAAAGATTTACAGTCTCAGAAACCCTATACTGCATTGCTGTGAGTCAGAATAGATTCCATGGCAAACAACAAGAACAAAACAAATTGGTATCCATGTTGTACTCAAAACAAGATCAAACTTGATGTCAGAAGAGACACTGAAACTTGCTCTCCAGAGTAGAGATGCTAAAGCAAATGGAAGAAATGAGGAGGCACAAGAGCTAAACAGAACATTTCAAAGATCAGCTTGAGAAGACAAAGTCAAATATTACAATGAAATGTGCAAAGATCTGGAGTCAGAAAACCAAAAGAGAAGAACATGCTCAGCATTTCTCAAGCTGGGGAAACTGAAGAAAAATTCAAGCCTTGGCTTTTGCTATTGAAGAAGTCTCTGGACAAATTATTGAATAATGCAGGAAGCATCCAAAGAAGATGGAAGGAATACACAGAGTCACTGTACCAAAAGGAAATGGTTGATGTTCAACCATTTCAAGAGATAGCATATGATCAAGAGCCAGTGATACTGAAGGAAGAAGTACAAGGTGCATTGAAGGAATTGGCAAAGAACAAGGCAGCAGGAATTGATGGAATAAAAGTTGAAATCTTTCAAGAAAGTGAGATGGCACAGGAGGCACTCACTTAACTATGCCAAGACATTTGGAAGACAACTATCTGGTCAACTGATTGGAAGAAATCCATATTTGTGCCCATTCCAAAGAGATGACCCAACAGAATGTGGAAATAATTCGACAATCTCTTTGATATTCCATACAAGTAAAGTTTTACTAAAGGTAATACAGAAACGGCTGCAAGCATACATTGACAGAGAACTTCTACAGGTTCAAGCAGGATTCAGAAGAGGACGTGGAATGATAGATATCATTGTTGATGTCTGAAGGATCTTAGCTGAAAGCAGAATATACCAGAAAAATATTTACCTGTGCTTTATTGACTGCACAGAGGCTTTTGATTGTGTGGATCATGACAAGCCATGGACAACATTGCAAAGTATGAGTATTCCTGAGCATTTAATTGTGCTCTTGAGGAATCTGTGCATGGACCAAGTGGCAGTTGCTTGAACAGAACAGGGGAACACTGAATGATTTAAAATTAAGAAAGTTGTGTGACAGGGTTTGTTTATTTCACCATACTTATTCAACCAGTATGCTGAGCAAATAATCTGAGAAATTGAGTTATCTGAGGAAAATATGGCATCAAGATTGGAGGAAGACTCAGTAACAACCTGTGATATGCAGATGATAACAACCTTGCTTGCTGAAAGTGAAGAAGACTTAAAGTACTTAATGATGAAGATCAAAGAGCACAGCCTTTGGTATGGGTTACACCTCAATGTAAAGTAAACAAAAATCCTCACCACTGGACCAATAAACAACATTCTTATCAATGGAGAAAAGATTGAAGTTGTCAAGGACATCATTCTTCTTGGATCAACTATCAACACTCACAGAAGCAGCAGTTAAGAAATCAAAGGTCGTATTGCCTTAGGTAAATCTGCTGCACAAAACCTTTTTAAAGTATTGAAGAACAAAGATGTCAGTTTGAGGACTAAGGTGTGCCTGACCCAAGCCATGGTATTTTCAGTTATCTCCTATGTGTGTGAAAGCTGGACAGTGAATAAGGAAAACTATAGA